ACGATGACGACGTTCCCGTACGTCATGGAGTGTGTGGCGGGAGAGGAGAACCTGTGGGCGGATCTCCTGAGCGGTGGGGAAGTCCTCCTGGATCGGACCGGAGTTTTCCGGTGGAGTCCCGGAGTGCCCGGATGTCCAGGCTGGCTCTGGTGTCCCCCTTACGGCACGAAGAATTTGTGTGGCCGATGGCGAATGCGATCACGGTATTGCAGCGCGGCCATCCGACATGTGAAAAATACGCCTCCTGGAGCGCCGAGAAGAAGTGTTTTCTGACGGCAGCTGGAAAGATCTGGATCCCGGGAGATGCATTGGATATGCAAGTGCGTATATGTGTGGTGGCCCATACCGGCGTGGCGGGACACCAGAGAGTAGAAGCGACAACGGCATCTGTTGCGGAGATGTTTGATTGGCCTACCCTGAAGACCGACGTGAAGAATTTCGTCACTGCCTGTCTTCATTGTATGGTGGTCGACGGTGAGTCGGTACCCCAAAACCACCCGGACGAGCCCCGGGAGGTAACGATCGACTGGATTAAGTCCCGGGCCATACGCCACGTGACAGAGCTCGCAGATGCTCTGGGAATTATGCACAAGCACGTGGAAGCAAAGCGAGCTAAGGCCTGGTACCGTCGTGATGGTCAACGATCCGTAAAGCTGGCGAAATTTACGCTGGGCGATTTTGTCTTGGTGGCCTGGGCTCTCCAGCATCCGGGAAAGCTAACGTTGCGTTGGAAGGGACCCTTCCGGGTCGTGAAGGTGGTCTCCGACTACCTGATGGAAGTCCAGCAGCTGGTGCCTCCGGGAGCGACGTCCCTGCACCATGCGTGCCGGCTCCGCGTGTACTGTGAGGGCGGACGTGAAGTCAATGAAGATTTGAAGGCCCAAATCGCGTTCAGCGATGTAGGTTTTTACGTGGAAGACCTCTGGGACCTGCGTGTGCGAGATGGGGTCTGGGAAGTCCTGATCAAGTAGCTTGGCCTAGACGATCTGGAGTCATCCTGGGCACTGGCCCTATCGATCTACGAAGACGTTCCCGTGCTATTCCGTCGCTAGGCCAAGGTCCGGAGCAACGAAGATGGCATGAGCGAAATGATTGACGATCTCACAAGTGCATGTGGTCACCCAATGTAGGGGGGGAAGTGTTATCGGCCGAGCCTCTGTT